CCCCCCCCCCCCACATGTCCGCCCCCCAGGTTTGGATTTGCACACACGCAGGTAACTCATTCGTGGCCCTGGTGGAGGTAGGGCCCAGACATTCCTACTCATCACCAGAAATAAGACATCCAAAAGGTGGAAGAAGACCCATGAAGTCATCATCCCGCCCTCACCTCCTCCGCCCTGCCCCCGGTCGAGTCACTCCTGCCTTCTTCCGTCTCCCTGGTCCTCTTTGGCCGGACTCATGAAGGCAGTGGTTTTCAGTTTGCCACCCGCAGACCCGTGGGGGTCCCCACACGGCCTGTAAGGGGTCCTCAAAAGATGACCACAGCCAGTTAAAAGTAGGTAAATACCCATGGTTACAGTTCAGAGGGTCCGCACCTGTATTCAAAATGTCAGAGGGATCCTCTGAATGGTAAAAGTAGGTGAATACCCAGTTAAGTGTCCATTTGAAACTTTTTTTTTTCTTCGTCATTTGCAGACCCCTAAAGTCAGGTTGAAAGCCACTGGGAAAGGTTTTCCTAGTCCTAAACTTAGTGCCCCCCCCGATTTTCTTGTGTCTGTGTAATATCACAGTAAAATTGACTGGGTGTATCTTGTCCTCATGTCAGTCTTGTGACCTCTTGGAAAAAGGGTCGTTTTCTTTAGCAACGTGTTGTGTCCCCCACAGACCACTTGTGTTGTGGCTGTCCTAGCTTGTTTTCAGTGGTCTGGCTTGTGTACCGAAATACCACAATATAAATAGCCCTTTTGAGGGCACTTAACTTCTCAGAAATAGCATATAGTGAAACAAGCTTAAAATCACCGTACAGCAAGAGGGCCCAAACCGCCAGACATTCCTGTCTATTGGAAACAGGGTCTTTGCGCTTTGAGCGAGTCATTTAATGCCTCTAATTTCTAGTTTTATGGAGGGTATGGTATAAAGGTAACGGGGAGGCTGCGTTCTCAAAACATGAGATCCTCTGGGAACAGAAATGACTTCTGGAGCAGGATAATGGGCCTGGAATAAACTAGAAAGGGAAATACAGGTGTGACAGTCCTGCAAGGTGGCTAGCTGTTTCCATCAAGAAGCTGTCATGTTAAAGAGTTTTGTATTTCAGTGGGAATGTGAGAGAGATGCAAACTGGATAGACTAAGCCTCTAATGAAGTTAATGCTGGTCAGGAAAAAAGCAACTTTCATAGTTATTAGGGATGGAAGGGACCTTATAGATAATCAGGTCCAGCCCCCCCACTTTGTATCATCTTAGTATTTCTTTTTCCAGACTTCTTAATGCAAAAGAGTCTTTATGTCACCTTGTAATTGGAAGGAATATGTGTAAACAAGCACTGGCACAAGAACACTGACTTTTTAATTCATTCACTTTTTTTTTCCAAAAATCTAAGTCAAGTTTCAAAGTGAAGCAGCAGTACATCTCCTACTATAATGTACAGTGAATGGAAGACAGATTTAAACACATCAGGCCATTTGGAAAATCTTAACCAAGTGTTCTGGTATAGCAAAGTGCCTTCTTCAAGAGCATGTACCAAGTCTTAAAATTCCTCTCTCTTTAAGCTCCATAGCTGTGCATTGAAGTCTTTTCCAGTGTGTAGAGAGGCAGGTAGCTGTAATCTGAAGTCAGGCAGAAGGCAGGGCAGGGTGGCAGCTTCAGAAACTAAATTGTTCAGAGACCTCAAGTTTTTTTGTAAACAACAGCCTACTTCATCATAGCATGATGAAGGGTTATCCACCCTGCCTTCTGCCTTTCCAGTTCCCATAATGGAAGAGTGGAGGGCACCAAAAACAGCCCCACTAGACACACCCTGGCCTGCCTGTTTGCCTCTCTGCATTTTCAGGTGGAGAAGTGATGTTGTCATGTTAGTGCTTTATACAGGAAATGCAGCTGAGCAACAGGATAGTGAAACTGTGCCCTTGACAGTGTGTTGTATATGAACAAGTAAACACAGACAGAAGAGACTCTTCTATTGGTTGACTCTCTTTTCCAGCTGGAAATGGTCTTTTTAATTCAGTGCTCCACTTCATTCAGAAGGCAAAACATTTTCAAGCATCCAAGTTCACAATTTCAAACTAAAAATATGAACTTTTTTTTTTAGTTGATATTCTGAATTACACTTGCATTACTTGTGCTTTCAGGTAAACTTGGTTGGACATAAAATCGTGTGCTAACTTTCATATATTTTAACACTACTGTAGGGAAGAAAACATGATTGCTCATTCTGTAGCATGTCACTTGTTTTGTCACATTACAGCTGGAAAGAAATCCAAATTTAATCTGATAGGAAGACCAAAAATTTTTAGCATGTTGGACAGAAACTTCACTCCTGGATGTTCATTTTTTTTTTTTTTCCCTTTATGGAAAACTGCAAAGATAACACTGGATTCTAACATGAATTGGAAGGATATGGATTAGTTCTGCTGGAACAGAATTGTCACAACTTAAAACGCAGGTCCAAACATAACTTAGAAAGCAAAAAATTGGTGTACATACAATGTCTCTTAATTTATGGCATTTTAATGAACGTGGCATTACTACTTAGTAGTTTTCATGTTCCAACTACATCCTGAATACCAATAAACAAGGTTAGATTAAAAATGGAAAAATAAATAAATCAACCAAAAAGTGATTGGAGCAGATTTATCTGTCATCCAGAAAGGGCTGGGGTAAGTGTACTTTCTGTCACAACATAATTCTGCAGATAGTAACCAAACATGTTTGTTAAGTAGATACTGAATCTCACAGCTGCCTACCCAGTGATCTCCAGATCGTGGCATCTCCCTTGCTTTGTATCACCAACTGTGAAGAACACTTGGAAATACTAGGCCTGAAGTGAAAAATCTTCATAAATACTTGAATTGCAGAAGCTTAAGGGAAATAATGATTTCTACAGTCTGTTATTTTTTTTTTCTTGTTGAACTGGATTTAAGCAGACTAGAATGCCTTTTTTACATAACTAAGATCTGGGAACCTTTTCTAATTACTCTGTTCTCTGCTTTGGCAGACTTACAATGAAAGGAACTGCTCCTTAGGGGTTGTTTTTAAATGGAACACATACCAAGCTTGGTTGTGTTACTGTTTACATTTGGGAGAAATCTTAGACAGAATTCATGTTCAAAAAAGAAATTGTTTACATAAATAACCTAAAATAGCACTCTCCAAGCATATTTTTACCAGTAGTTTAAATATTAAACTATGACCTGATTAATATATATTTAGTTGCTAGCCTGTTTAAGTTTACCCTAAAGTCTTCCCTGCATGTTTTATCTCCAGCCTGTGCGCTAAAAATTTTTCCAGTGGTGCCAAGGATGTTAATTTTATTTTTCCTCTTAGTCATTTATTCAGCTTCAGTGACTAGAAGTTTACTGTTTCTGAAAGTGTTTGTACTGGTCTGCCAAATCATTCTTGGCACTTGCAGGCCAAAAGAATGGGATATTGTGCATTAAGGTGTGCTGAATTAACATCTGACATATATTAAAGGTATTCTAAAATTTTCATTATCTAAAATTTTGGAATAGTTCACTGCTACTGCAGTGACCCACAGGCTAGATGAGAAATTAAATGGAGACACAATGCTCTTTTATCTACTATGGGGATGGCCAGGTTGCATGGGCCTTTTCATTCCAACTATCTTTGAAGCTAGGATAGGTAAAATATCGCCCATGGGCTAGAACCGACTGGCCAACTGAATGACTCCAGCTCCTGCACTGCCCAGGCAAGCTCTTCTGCATGTGCCCTCAGCCAGCTCCCAGGATCTGATGTGCAAGCAGCCCTGTAAACACACCCACCTCCCACTCCCCTTTGCCTCCCTACACAAAATACAAGATTTTATTTTGAGCTATTATGCGCTAGTATATAGTCTCTATATACACTATTCAAAAAAACATGAATCAGGAAAAAAATATTTTGG